TAGATGGATACATAGGATGCTTGAGATTGTGAAAGAAAACTAGGGAGGAATTAAAAATCACCTTTGAGGATATGATGCTGAAAGATGTGTGTTTTAGCCAGGCCAGTGGAGCATAGAGCATAACTTTGAAGAGTGCATAAAAGACTCAGAAAGCAGTGAAAAAGAATGATGTCTTTGGAGGAATGGGAAGCAATTCTGTATTACGAGAGTTCTGTATTAGTAGTTGCCCTCTTTGGAATAGATTCTTTATCAGAAATTTGCATGAAAATACAGAGAGAGAACAGTTAATAAACTTTAACCCCCACCCAAAAAAAAACAGCCAAATGTTGAAACTCAAATTACTTAATTTGGCACTGGTTTCAATTTTTCAAACACCAGTCCATTTTTAAAGTTATATCTGATTACTGTCAGACATATATATACAATTACCTGGCCTTGCTGAAATATTACATTGGCTTGTCTTTTAATTCTGAATACTTTTTAGTAGCATTTGATCAGAAGTAAGTATATTGAGATACTAAATGCCCAGTTTGAAACTAAGAAATAAAATGTGTTTTTTTAGTTAGGAAAAACCTAATGAAAAATATATTTTTCAATCCAACTGAAAAGTATAACATAATAGTCATATGCCTGTTGCCTAGAATTAATAAATCTGTTAATCATATGTAATTATACACACACATATATATAATATTTTAGTTGTAGATGGATACAATATCTTTATTTTTATGTGGTGCTGAGGATTGAACCCAGTACCTTACACATGCAGAGCAAGTACTCTACCACTGAGCTACAACCCCAGCCCCTCATATGTACTTCTGATTTGTTCACCCTTCAAGAACTGAGCATTTCTAGAAATACAGTTATGATCTCTTTATATCCTTTCACTTATCCATGGAAGCAATCACTCATACTACCTATCTATGCATCCATAAATTAATTCTGTGTGCTTTAAAAATTCACATAAATAGCATGCACTTTTCTTCCTTAATCCTGAAATTTGGAAATATCTACTGTATTTCAAAATGTTCATGCTTCATTATATAGCACTTTCATTTCTAGATATATATCTAATATATGATAAATTTTTATAATATGAAAACTCTCAGAAGAATGTCCATTTCATCATTGTTCATGACAGTGAAAAATTAAAACAACTCAGATACTTGCCAACAGGTGAATGGGAAACAAATTGCAATAAAAGAAGACAGATTACAGTGGTGGGAATGAACTAGTTACCCTCTGCCTTTTGTTTATGTCACCTTATAAGAGCATAGTAAGTGCTTAGTGTTTTGTCCATGGAGTTAAGTCTCAATAGTTTGGGGGGAAAATTTATATATATATATAAATTTATAATATATATATATTATATATATAACATATGTATATATATTATAATATATATGAGCGAGACACACACACACACACAAAGAATAAAACCAATGTACATATGATGTGGTATCTACATTGTAAAGGTATGATGCTGACAGATGTAATCACCAGTCAGATTATCAATCATCGGCAGGAGCAAGAAAATACTTGTAAAGGTATGATGCTGACAGATGTAATCACCAGTCAGATTGTCAATCATCGGCAGGAACAAGAAAATACTTTTGGCCCCCATTGCTGATCTTTCTTATTTTCCATTCTTCTTCCCAAAAATGTCTTTCTCCTTCCCTTAGGATTTTTACTTTTCTAATTAAGAAGCCCTAGGGGGAACTTCTTAATTTTTTTCAGCTCTTAAGCTTGCAGGCTTGAAAGTAGAAAAAGGAAACATGACATTGACAACATGCTTTCATATTAAGTGATATACTGCTAAAAAAAAGTGATTTTTTTATAGATTACTAAAATTTATCTAAAAATCCTTAATGTACATTAAAACTATTTATTTACATATTTACATATCTTGTGTTTACTCTGAAAATTTTATTGTGAATTTTAATGTGACTATTTTTTTGATGATACTAGATACAGACAATATATTGCTTTATTGTCAAATATCTTTAGAACAAAACTTTTAACATGGGCAGCCTAAATATGGAGAAGGGGCTGTGGAAAAAAGATGAAAGCATTGCTCACCAGGTACATAATTTAGACTTCCTAGGGAAAGCATAACAAGGCTTATGTCTGGCTTATCCAGATTAAAATGAGCTTTAACCAGGGCTGTGTGTGGTAGTGGTTCAGAAAGAATAAGAAATTTGTATTATATTAGCTAGAAAGCTAAAACCTAACTTTTCCATAGTTTGCATGTAGAAGAGAAAGAAGGGGTTCCCTGTACCTCTTTCATTATTTCTATTTTGGGAAATAATTAGATTTTAATTGAGTGCATCAAAAGTATAGAAGAGTTTAGAACTGGGGAAATTTTGTTAATTTATTATGAAATTTTAACTATTAATTAGACGTAGAATAAGTTTATTTTATATGCTTTAAGTTGTACATAAAACATGAACAAAATCGAAGTTAATAAATACAAATATGGGTGAGGCAGTAATAGTTTTTGAAAAAGATATTCTCACAAGTCTTTTAAATAGTCAAATTTTAACTGCTAAAGAACAAAAGAAGTGATGAAATATAGAGAAGACAACTTTTCTTCTTTTAGTAGGTTCTAGAACTATTAATGTATAATGATTAAGATTTCTTACCTTGAGGAATTTAGTGTCATAGGAAAGAAAAATACATAATAAGAACATGATAGTGTTATAAATGTTATAGGATGCTGTTGTCACAGGGAAACATATAATAAGTTCCTTCTAGAGGGTATCTGGATCTTCAAGGATGTCTGGCAAGTTGAATAAATGGAAAGAACATTCTTGGCAAAGGGAAGGTGTACTGCAACTTGAAAAACATGACATCACACAGCATTTTTCAGTAACATGCTATGGTTAGATACATGAGAAGCATAAGATTTGAGATGAATTGAACACCAAGCATAAAATCAGGTTGTATTGATAAAGTAGAGCAAGATACTTGAGCAGTTTTTAAAGGTACTACATGCCAGGTATGTTGTAGCTCTCCAGTCTCCTTTTTTATCCTTCTAGTCTAAGCAATATAACCTCTAGGCACACTAAATTTCCTTGAGTTGTTCAAATTTCTATTCATCAAATATTTATTGAACATTTATTGTATGCTAGGTACTATTCTAGGCAGAAGGGATAAAATAAAATATACATGTTCTCTGCCTTTACATATCTTAATAATCCTCAGTTAACACTGGTAAGTATATAAGCAAATAGAATACACTCTGCTGACTGTTAAATAATGCAGGTAAATGTTGCTGGTATAGGAACCTAAAAGGATGATGATCAACCAAGTACAAGTTATGTCCTGAGCCTTTGAATAATGAGTAAAATTTGGTGAGAATTGGGATGAGTGCGAGTGACAGAAAGAAGAGGACACTTAGGCAGAGGAAACCAACAGAGTAAAAATCCATAAAAGAGAAATAGTATAGCATTTTCCTAGCAAGTTTCCCTACTGCACCCTCAGACCCTTACTCTCTTACACTCTCCCCACATCAGATTGATCCTTTAAAGACATGAATTAAAATCATGTCAATCTTCTGCTCAAAACTGTCCATTGGTGTCCTGTCTTCCTCAGAATAAAATTGAAAGGTTTACAATTGCCTAAGTGGCCCTGTGTACCCTCTTCCTAAATTTCTGATGTTATCTCATTCTTACCCTGGATTACTGTACTCCAGCCATAGTAGCCTCTTTTCTATTCATCTTACAAAGAGACCTGCACTTATGATCACACTTTATAAAATAGCAGCCTCCTCAGCCCTACATTCATTTTTTTCTCAGCTTACTTTGCATTTTGTCTTAAGTGGCTCGACCATAATTGGCAGGTGGCAGTATTGCATGAGTAATCTCACTGGATGCTAAGAATCATGAAAATGAATATTTTTTTTTATTTTAACTGTTGCTCTCATGATGTCTAAAACAGCTATATATAAAATAAACATTCAAAATATTATTCAGTTCTAAGGAGATTATAGATAGGATGCTTTATTTTTATGTTTTCATCTTTTTATTTCCCTGGAACACTTTAAATATTACATGAATTGACACAGTAACAATAAAATTGGTTTGATTTTCTTTTAACTCATTCAGATTATTTACTATATTTTTAAACATGTATTTAACAGTAGAAACACATTTACAGTATTGTATATCACTGGGTTTCAAATGCATAGTTTATTCTTTTGATCCAGAAGCATGTCAGCTTAACAATATCTGAATCATTGAATTTTTAATACAGTACTAAATAATAATAATAATAATAACTGCATTTTAGTAACAAATACTTAAGCAGTTGTTTTATAACAGGTTATTTTCCCTGAAGTTATTGTTATGTCTTTATATAATCATAGGTATAGCTACAACATATTACATAAGCAAAGATTGAACTTTTGTACATTTCAGTAATTTAAAATAGTCAAATTTTACACTGAGTTCTTGCACATACATTGGCTTCAAAGAGTCAGTGGTTTACCTAATGTATATATGCCACATATTGCTAATCCTAATAAGTACTAATTATTCAGTTCTCTTACTCATCACATTTCCTGTTGTTTCTGTTTTGTACAACTTGCATTTCTCCCACCTTCCCAAAATACCATCTAGGAAGCCTTTAGTGGAAAACAGTCATGATTCAGCAATCAAGTAGTTGTTCACTACAAAATTGTGGGAAAGGGGATTCAAGAGTTGATTCTAAAGAGATTACACACACACACACACACACAAAAATTATATATGTCGTCTGTTACTTTCTTCAAATCATCTGGCAATGCCAGTTCCTTCTCTGCTCTTTCTTTCCTATGTACTGCCTTCCCAGTCATGTCCTTGCTAAAACCATTTAAGACAAATAGGTAATGGCCACATATCAAATACAAGTGTTAATAATTTAGGTTATAAATTAGAATTCAACAAGATATGGGATGATAAAATGTAAGGATTGCCTATCTATTACAAATATAAAAGTTTTTTCTCTTGCAAAAATTATAGGGGATGGAGTGTTAGATCTCTCTACAAAGAAAACCAGCATAAAATCTGAAGAGTCATCTATATGTGATCCTTCTTCTGAAAATTCAATGGCTGGGTAAGCAATATCTAGGAAATATAATTTAATATTAATGTAAAATTATCTTTGCAGAGAACTCTTAATAATATTCTGAGTGGTATTGACATAGTTTTCCTCCAGAATTTTTGTCACTCATAAGTGTGTCTCTCTCATACCTTTCATTTGTCCTTTCTCTTTCTTTTTTATTCTTTCTGTTAAAGAAAAGTTATCAGAACAATCACCAAACTTTAGTTCATGTTACTAAAATGAACTATCAGCTTAATCATAGAATGCAACCTAAGAAGCAGGACAAGTAAGAAAACTTTACATTAAAAATTCAGGAGGCAGTTTTAAGGGAAATATGTGATTTCAGTATTTAATTTTTTAAAAACAATGAACAAATTCTAAAAGTACTATACTTACTTACTAATTCTTAAAGCTAGTTTATAGTATTTATATTTTTTTCATTATGCTTTAGATGTGGTGGCAAATGATTTAATATATCTAGTAGTCACCACGAAAAATCCTTTCATATTTTGAAAGCTGTCATCGAATAAATTTAAATAAATACTAGTGAAATGCTGTTCTGTTGGACTTTTGGAGTTTTTTCCTTTTTTTGTAACTTTCACATCTTCCCATTAACTACATAGGAAGCTTTTTTGGTCACATTTCAATCTGAGATGTAGAGTGTCATTTGTTTCAAATAAGGCTGCTGTAGTGTTTGAGTCATAAAATAGATTATAAGCTTTCTGTTTGAGAAACTGAAAATTACCTGAAACATTTATACTAGAAATAACTCGTAGTGTCTAAAAAGAAAAGTATTTTATTCAAATACACCTCGTTTCAAATTTTATGTTTTTGTCTAGAAGAAAATTAGTCTTGTGGAAATAGGGGATGTTTGTGTTTGGAAATATTCTTGCTGCTACAAATTTCCTTTAAATGGGTTGACTCTTTTATTACTTGTTTAGCGGTAACGTCACGTTTCTACTAACAAAAACTCCTTTAGGATTTGGGTATTTTTTTTATAATGGAACTCTAATTGTACAAATAAAAATTATAAGTGTTGCTCTGCAAGCATCTTTCAGAGGAATAGCAACATCATGAGAATATTTTTACAAATACTGAGTTAGGATTTTATGTTCTTGGAAGGTCTGCCCCTTGAGGCCACCGTATCATTGACACATTGTCCTACCAGGACTGTAACGTTTGCTTTGATAAGGAGTAACTACCACATCTCACAGACTTAAAAGTGTCATAAGCAGTGATGTTACCTAAGCAAGGAGTATAATAAAGGAGTGGACCCTCCCCTTCCATAGCTGTGTGAGAGTCTCTCATGCATCAGTTTACCATCGTTTCATTCCATCCATCCAGGAGACTACACAGAAACAGAGAGGACTATGTGGAAAGAAGTGCTGAGTTTGCAGATGGTTTGCTCTCAAAAGCTTTGAAAGACATTCAGTCTGGAGCACTGGACATAAATAAAGCAGGCATACTTTATGGCATACCTCAAAAAACTTTACTTCTCCACTTAGAAGCCTTACCAGCAGGGAAGCCTGCATCTTTTAAAAACAAAACTCGAGATTTCAATGATAGTTACTCATATAAAGACAGTAAAGAAACTTGTGCAGTGCTGCAAAAAGTAGCCTTGTGGGCAAGAGCTCAAGCAGAGCGCACAGAAAAAAGTAAACTCAATCTACTTGAAACCTCAGAATTAAAATTCCCAACAGCTTCCAGTTACCTCCATCAGTTAACTCTACAGAAAATGGTTACTCAATTTAAAGAAAAAAATGAAAGCCTTCAATATGAAACTTCAAATCCTACTGTACAATTAAAAATTCCTCAGCTACGAGTAAGTTCTGTTTCAAAATCACAACCCGACGGTTCTGGTCTGCTGGATGTTATGTATCAAGTTTCCAAAACCTCTTCAGTCCTAGAAGGATCAGCGCTCCAAAAACTGAAAAATATACTCCCTAAACAGAACAAAATAGAGTGTTCTGGTTCTGTAACTCACTCAAGTGTTGACTCTTACTTTCTACATGGGGACCTCTCTCCTTTGTGTCTTAATTCTAAAAATGGAACAGTTGATGGAAACTCTGAAAATACTGAAGATGGATTGGATCGAAAAGATAATAAGCAGCCCAGGAAAAAACGTGGCCGCTATCGGCAATATGATCATGAAATAATGGAAGAGGCTATTGCAATGGTAATGAGTGGAAAAATGAGTGTTTCCAAAGCACAAGGAATTTATGGGGTACCTCACAGCACTTTAGAATACAAGGTAAAAGAAAGATCTGGAACACTGAAGACTCCTCCGAAGAAGAAACTACGATTACCAGACACTGGGTTATATAACATGACAGATTCAGGGACTGGCAGCTGCAAAAACAGCAAGCCTGTGTAGACTACTTGTTAGGAAAACGTGTGTGTGTGTGTGTGCGTGTGTGTGTGTGTGCACAGGTGTGTATTTGTGTGTCTACATACACACATGTGGGAATTACAAATGCTCACTTTGACAGGAGACATGAAATTTTACAGTTCAAAAACCACTTACATGCCTTTTGAAAAAAAAAGTTTTATTCAGGGTTTTCACTGTGGACAGAATTATATAGTTGCTTACTTAATTCTGATAGTTTGTATTTAATCCTTGTATAAATAGGTGAAAGAAATTCAGGTTTTCTTTAGTAGTCAATAGCATAAAGCGTGGGAAAACAAGTAAATGTCAAGTGAAACATTTTTATTGGTGAAAGGACATTCTAGCCATTCAGTTGAACCATCTTATAATGGTAATATGATATTAATAGTTTGTAAACAATTTTACATAACATACTTAAAAGTTGTTATAAGTATGTCAAAGAACCAATCAAAGTTTAAATAAACAGCTATCTCCATGCTAAGAAAAATTAATATATACAGTATTAATACACTACAGTGCATTCTATAAAATACAAATGCACTCAAGTGCATCCACCAGGAATAGAAAGAAAACCTTAAAAAATATGTATAATGAAATTTAATATTTATCATTTAATAGTTGATTTAGCAGGAAGTTGGGGTTTATAAGGTATATACTTAAAAAAAAAAAAAACCTGACACATAGTTAACCCCAGCAGCTATAGAATCTTTTAATATAAGATGGAATACTAAGAACAAAAAGTAATTTAAATTTAATTATTAAAATAATTTAATTTTGTTTTTCATTTGAAAAATAAGCTAATGTGTAAGGTTAGAAAAGAAAGTTGGAATGCAACTTAGAGCATGTTTATAATGTGCACAGAAAAAGCTTGAGAATGATAATTTTGGTTTAAATGTGCTGGTTAGTTGATGTTATGACTACTTTAAAGTTTAAGGATTGTGACACACTCCTACTATTGAAAAACCTCAGTGTAACTTTAATATATTTGCTGCTGTGACATTTCAAAACATTTTCAGTTTATCAAAATGAATTACAGATTTCATTTTGGTGGGCGATACATTATCATTTTGCTAATAACCAAATTTGCAGTTTGTTCAGGGTCTTGAATAGATTTACAGATATTTAACACTGAAGCTGTTTTGAACTTTCAGTAATGTAAACTCACTACTAATTGGGTAGTTAGAAGCTGGGCAGTGCATTTTAACTTTTACTAGACTCATAAGAGAGACCAGTAATTTTTATATAGCAGTTTTAAAATATGGGTCAGAGTATTCATGTTGGATTTATGGAGTATGCAGTTTTAGAGGTAAAATGTTATAAAGCATGTGCCTCCATATAAAGAATGAGGATTGTGCTTTATACATTAAAAATTCTGAGTGCCCCTTTTCTCTGTTAAAATTCAGGTTCTGATCATTTTTCTATGTCAGATTTTTCAAGTTCAAACAGAATTCTTACAGCTGAATTTAAAAAATGAGTGCACCTTGTCAAATACTTGTGTTTTTACACTTGTGTTTGTGTGTATTTAATAATCACATATACATGTAATACTAAAGAGATTTTCAGCTATTAAATTTAAAAACTGCTTACATGTATTTAAAGTAACTGACGAGTAAGGAAATACACAATCTAGTAGCTATTTGGTATCTGAGATCTGTAGTGAATTCTTTTCAGCTGTTAATGTCACCTGCATACTAGGGTATGAATCCTCTTACTCTCCCCACCCCCCACCCCCCAGAAAATATACATAATAGATTACAAAACAGCAGATGTCAGGGTCATCTTTCTTTTTAAAGAATTAAGCCATATTTTGTGAGGGCCAGACTTGGATTATTTAATATATTCCCCTTCCCCGCCCCACTGAAAAACAAAGTTAAAGATAAAGTAAATGTTTCAAAACAATTTTATTGACCTCTTTATACAGAATTTTACTTGCAAAACTTTGGGGGCTCGAATGCATTACATAATATTTATATTGTATTGAGCTTTTTTATTCCTCACACTATATTTACATTAATAAATTGATTGAGAAGTTTATAGTAAAGGGAAATTTACAGAACACTTTTATATCATTTAAAAGATGACCTGACCAAAAACTTTACAGGATTCATAAATCAGGGATCATTTTGCTATTGACTTCACAGTGATCAGTAGTTTTATAGGTAATATTATAGTTAATTTGCAGCATTTTAGTACTTGTATTATTTATTTTTGGTCAGAAATAGTAAATTAAAATATTTTTTGATAGCTTATAGGTAATGATCAACCCATAACTTAAAAGAAACAAAATGTTTCTATTATTGAGTTAACTTTTTGATTATACAAACTAGGAAAGGCAGGGAAATTTATGGGTTCCCCTTCTCCCCAGTGGTTCTAGTAAGATGTTCTTTATGTTAAACTTTCAAAGTACTTTATAAATTTAGTTACCAGTTACTACTTAATTGACAATTTTCTGAAAAATCCAGTTTCAGCAGACTTTTAATGAAAGTGAAAGCAACCCTTATGTGCTTTCTACTTATTTGAATGTTCCTCAAGTATTTTATATTTAAAATAAAAAAGAAGGAAAAGAAAAAACAGTGCCTCTGTTTTTAGAAAACTACTGCTCAGTAAAGTTGTTTAAACCATTTCTGGTAGCTAATGACAATTTTATATTAAATTGTATACTAACTTTAGTGAGACTGATTTTTTTAGTTGTTTACAGTACAAATACTTGTATTTGTTTTTTAATTGCAGTATTTCCATTGTCGCAGTAATTTAGTAAAACTCTGTGGCTGCCTTGATTTTGACAGATTTTGTTAATATAAACTGATTGTTAGGCAATTAGTTATATTTATGCATAAATCAATTGCACTATAATTCATGAATTATTTATTACAATATTTTCTAATGAATTCATGTATCTGTCTTGTGTTGTAAATGTACTGTAATTCTGTTCCTACTTTGTGTTGTTATATATCTAAATCTGATTGTATGAATTTTAATTGTTCAGTTAACGTGTTTCTAGGTTGTAATTTGTAGTAAAGCACTTCAATGCTTTTGCACTTAAATTTACAACACTGTTGGCGTGTGATTGATTTACTCATTCAGTAAAAGAAAGAAGAAAAACAAAAGAAAAATTTGACTACACTGACTTCTTTGATTCCCTGTAGGAAGGGATTTTTATTAAAATTAGAAATTGACTTTTTCTGAAGAATTATTTCAAAAATAAATTTCTAATGGAAAAATGGGTAGTAACATAAAGTAGGCAGGATGTTTTCATTTTTATGTCAAACAGGGAAAAGTTAGAAGAAATTTGACATGAAGAACAACCTGGGCTCTATGAAAAATATAAGTTTAGGGCCTCTAATCACTTGGGAAAAAAATTGTAGATTGGAGACTTTTGTGTATATTCAACTTACTCATATTAGGTTTTTCTTTGAGATGGAAGAAACCAGGAAAAGAAAAAAACTAAAGCCAAATAAGTATATTGGAGAGTTCTATAATTTGAAAACTTATTCACCCTGATAATATAAGATACAGCCTACTATCTGAATATCTAATGGGTACCTGTATTAAGCTATTCTTCATATGACACCAGATGGAAATTATTGGCCACCGGGGTATATGAATTTGCATCATTAAAAGGAATGAGCTAAATTAGAAAATTCTACTTCTAAAGCATAGATTTCCTTGGAATGTCAGAAAATGGTTATAAAAATCAGTGGTTTTCATAATGTTTGGATGTTTCATAATGTTTTTATTTAGATTACTTAACCCTAGTTGTTCATTTTGATTGTTCCTACTTTTTAAGGACATACTTATTTCTGATGCTGGGAATTGAACCCAGGGCCTCATACATGCTAAGCTCACATTCTACTAACCACAGCCCCAAATTATTTCAGCTTTGTATTTAACTTCATTAATAGAAAAATGCCTTGGAGCATTTCAGGAACTGTTACAAAAGGATGTTCATCTTTAAGATACAGAGCAATGTATTTTTCTAACAAACATCCTCCCTTTCATTATTAGTTAACAAACAGGATTAATAGGCTACATAATGTGGCTTTAGAAACTGTTGAAGTGCATCTGTTAGGATATTTTGGGTTTTCTTTTGCTTTTATGACAAAGTTTTAGTTTGCTAGATAGAGTATATCAATATTTAATACCTATCATTTCCTCATGCTTTTGCGCTTGTTTTGAACTTTCTGATTTTAAATCCTGAGAGTCAGTTCCATTGTACAATTCAAATATGACACAATTTACAAAGCAAATTATTTACAGAAGGAAAATTCAGAATCTGAGGTTATATGCTTTATTTATCTGGAGGCAGCAGTAGACATAAGAAGTTTTATTGTAATTCATATCTCTCTTTGATGGCTTTTTTACAGCAAATTATTTTAATGAAATCTAAATGAAATATTGCACATTTACCTGTGAAATAGGTTATGCCAGTTTTAGGGAGCAAAATAATACTAATTCCACCTTTTGTTTTAAAAGAAAAATTCTTTAGTTTGTATTAATACACCAACATAATAATTTTTTATTTAAAACACTACATTCTTCAGTTGGAACACTATCAGTATATCCCTGTACCAACCCTAAATAAAATTTGTATAAATCAGGAATTTAACTACATACATAACAAATCACAAAAGGAAGGTTATTTTCATGTACAGAGTTTGGTGATATGTTTAATAAAAATAGATACTTTTCTGAAACAGAATTCTTTTAATACATTTACTCTTCTTGCTGCTGGTATTAGATTAAAAAGATTTTTTTCATAGACTTATATTAATTGATAAGCAATTTGGGCATTAAGCTTAGATGTATATTAGTTTCTGCAGTGGGCATTTTCCTGCATTTGAAATTTAATAATTAGGTAAGTAATGCCTTTAGTTTTCCTTTAATTACTGTAGTATTTAAATCAATTAAAAATAGATTTAATTTATAAATAGCTTCCAGTTGTTTATTTTTTTATTAGGCAAAAATGCAGCTTAATCTCAGAAAAGACAATTCTATTACTTACATTAAATCTAAATTCCTTAATTTTCCTTGTAACTATACATAGCTCTCTTTTCTTAACAATTTCATTTTTAGCATTTGAAAAAATATTTTAAATAAAGATAAGATTATACTCCTACATTTTATTTTCCTTATTTGCACTAACATAGATAATTGTCAAAATAACTCACAGAATGTGTACTTTACAAAAAATTTAACTCCTTCTCAATTCTTTACATTTAATGTTAATATATCCAAAACACTAAATATTACCAATATGTAAATATAAGTATAATTATCAGCTTTTATATTGCAAAAATAGGGCTTTGCTTTGACTCCTATACTTTTGTCATTGACATTATGTTATTTGTGCTTCCTTATATTTTTGCTAAACAATAATCGAGATGTCATTATTGCAGCTCTGTAGGTGTCAGGAAGGAGTCCAACAGTACCAAAATATCTTGTTCAAACTCTGTCAAAATTATAACTCCTTATCGTGGTGTTTTTGCTGTAATTCATTTTTTTGTTTGATTTTTATTTTTAGTTCAACTGTTGATGCAAAATCAGAGGAAGCTACTAAAATGGAAAAAGGAAAATCAGCATTAAGCAAAGTTTTGGAATCTTTGTGCATACATCACCAGCAACAAGTTTTGGCTATGTTGAAATTTATAGTCCAAGAGCAGAATGCTACTTCTCTTTGCTGTTGTAATACATCATGTGCTGTGTCTTCAGAATCTCAAAAGCCTCTATTTGAAGATGATTTACATGGTCTGTTCTGTAGTTGTGAATATAGACTGGCAGAAAGAGGGTGTTTACCAAATGAAAGACAAAGCCCAGGTTTGGTGTCTCTGCCAGTCTGTATTAAGGAATTACATTGTTTATCTTGCCAAAGTGTAACTATTGAACACATTACAACAGTAATGAATAGAGGAATTGCAGATACTTACAATTCTCACAGGTGCTGTTCTGGACTGTTACCAAACATTCACTCTACAAAATCAGCGTTTCATGGTCCTCTTTTGTCAAGGGAAGTATGTGATCTTTCAGTCAATCTTAAAGATGTGTGTAGATCTCGAAGTCCCTCACCCCCACCGTTATCACCTGTGCAGACTGAAGGGTTTGAAAAACTGAAAGATGTCATCTCAGAGCTTTCAGCCTTAGAAAATAACAAACTTGAAACAAGTACTAACCAGCCTCCATCTCTAACACCAGCAGAAATAAGCAGCAACAAGGGTGACCATGAAGTCAAAATACATAAAACTAAAAAATCCAGTAACTCTGATTCTTTATTCTCGGATGCCAGTGGTAATTGTACTCCAAATTATGAAAAAGGTGAAACTGCTGTAATTTTTCAAGATTTAATGGATCGCATTAATGAAAAATTAAAATCAATAGAAACCACAGATATTACAAATCTTGTAAAATTATCTAGCAATGATTGTAATACAGATAATGATTTTAAATTGGGAAATTTAATAACATCTCTCTTGCATAATGCAAAGGCCAGTGATTATAGTTTTATGGAATTACTCAGTCAACATGATAAAAAGGTAGAAAATAAAATTATTCAGACAAGATTTCGAAAGCGTCAACAAACTTTACTTGCAATGCATAACTCTCCTGATTCACCAATCATTAGAAGGCAGTCTTTACAGATCAAAAGAGAACTTGCTAGTCTTGATGGAAATTTTATGAGGAAAAAATACAATGAAAAAAATTCAAGGAAATTGATGCACAATGATGAGATATTTTCATCAGACAAGGAAGAATTGCATCATTGCCAAGTGCCTCCTGTACAAAATTCTAAATGCTTTCAAGACAAAAATCATGCAGAAACATGTCCACCAAATTATACTCTTCAGTCATTGCAACTACCTCTTCATAGTATAGAAACTAACTCGGCTTTTGATGAAATTTCAGAAAACTTTAATAAAACAACTTTAGCAGAGAAAATAAGCATAAGAAAATCACAGGAGAAATTTTCAGCTGGAAAAAATAACGAGGAGAATCCAAAATTAGAGAGTACTCAAACTCCTTTGAGAAGTGATGGACTTTTGAACAGAACTAAACGAAATATTGTACCTCCAGGGTGGTATTCTATATATGTAACGAACAATTATGTTTTCAAAAAATCCCCTAAGGCCAAAAGAGTGTCTGATTCCACACATAAAAAAGATGCAGTGAAAAATATTCAGGTTGAAAACTCACAGAATATAGATCTAAGCAAGATTGCAATGAATTCGAATTTACAAGTTGTTGTGGAGCGTTTGGAAGATACGATAAGTATGGCCAAAAAGTCTTGGAATAATGGGCCGTTATCAGAAGGATATAAAGTTTCTAAGAAATTGATAGAAATTGATGATAAAGACCAAAATGTTGAGCGAGAGAAGACTCCTATTTTAAGCAGAATGACATGTCAAGGGCAGGGTTTATCAAAATCTGCAGTGTCATTAAGCAGTGTTATCCAAAGTCCGCAGATACCTCCAATGGACTTGAATAACAAAAGACTTGATAATCAGAAAAAGTCTTCTATTTTAGATACAGATAGTTTGATTTCTGGTTTTGAAAATGTACCAACAAAGTGTGAAGGTATTGAAAGCTCTTCTTTTTCTAACTATTCTAGTCCTATCAAACTCATGTTTTTATCAGAGATTAAAAGTAGTGAAGGAGTCAAATATACATTGACCTCAGTTGGTACCTCGCAATCAAATGCTGATATTCCTTCCGAGAAACATGTAACGCATCACGTAATTGGAAAAAACACAGAAGCAAATGAGGATATCCCAAATGCTAGGTTTGAAAATGACAATTTTAATCATGATACTGATACTCTTCAAAGAGAACTAAACAAATGCAATTGTGTAAAAGAACCCGCAGAATCTTCTGCAGTGTTTACAGATGATCTGAATAGGGATAAGCCACAAGAAGAATCTAAGGGAAATTCAAGCAGTGCTGTTGATTCGTCTTTTAAAAGAAAACCAGGTAGACCTAAAAAAATAGGTCCCCAAGTTGTGAAACAGATTAAACGACCAATTGGAAGACCGCCAAAACCTAAAACTGATCAAACAGACATCACCATTTGCCAAAATGAATCCTTTAGTGCTGAGAGGAAGAGCCCAGAGTCTCTCATATCAGAAGTAAAAGAGGGTATTTATAAAAAGAGTATTACTGTAACTGTTATTTATGGAAGGTCAAGAAGAACTAAAAGGCATGTTTCTGAAGGAAGTGTAAACAGCAATATTATGTCATTTAACAATAATGTTGATGATTTTCCCACTGAATATAACAGTCTCAGAAATACTAGAGAACATGAAATTGACTTGAGTAAAAGAGTAAGTGCTGTATCAAGTTTGACTGCTCAAGGAGAGGCCTTGGGGTCTGGCTTTGAGCATGTTAGACCTGTCAAGAACAAGTGTGTGGTACCTCAGCCTCCTAAGAACATTATTCGACCAAATCAGAAACCTTTGGCAATAATTAGGAAACCTGGTAGACCTGCAAAAGTTAAAATCTCTGGCATATCTGTGACTATTAATAGAGTTTCACCTCAGGAAAGAGAAGTAAGTATTAGCAGCTGCTTACCTCCTTTACAACAGGAGAATATATTAGAAAAATCTCTGCCTGAAGAAATGCATGAGCAAGAATGCAATAATATGGATAAAACAAGGCACACTGAAGCTGACATATTTAAAAATGGATCCAAAAGTATGGTTGCTACTCTACCTTTGAGACATTCTATTAGGAACAAAAAACCATCTCTGCATTTCTTGCATTCATTAGCATCTTCTAGCTCACTTATTTATAGAAATGCTCTGCTTCATAAATCATATAAACCCCATATGCAGAAAGGCAAAAATCAGAAGAAAAAACATGCACAGTCAAGGATAAAAATAAGTTCCAAAGTTAACCCAGGAACTAGACATGCAAAGAAAGCAAAACAATGTTTGGAAGATAACAAATTAATGCCCATTTCTGAAGTATCCTTGGACCCTATAATTTCATCAAACTCTTTGCTCAGGTGGTGGGCTACTTCTACTTCAAGCGATTCCTTATTAGAGGAATTAAACAATAGATTTGAGCAAATAACAAATGCTTGGGTGCAAGTAAGTGGAGATGAAGCTGAAAGTTTTGCTCATAAAAAGAAAGAATACATTGAAAACAATAATTTCAAAGTAGCCAAGCCATTGGAGACTTGTCTTTTAGAACTTGAAGTTTCACCTGTAAAAATGCTTTTTCAGAAAAAGTATGATTTGAATGAACTGTGTACCTGGTTTATGCAGTCAACAGAAACACAGTCTCTTTCACTAGTTAGAAAAGCAAATGCTCGGAATCCTTTGGAAGTAATAAATACCAAGGGAATTAAATTAGGGGCCAAATATTGTGATTTTAATACCAACCCCTTTAGAAAGCACTTTAAAAAATTTGCACTCTCTTCTCCTTCAAAATCAGGGAAGTTGCATATACTGCATAAGATGGTTAGTTCTCCACTCTTAAATGTGAAAAGTAATTTAACACTAGCTAGATTTAAAAGGACTGAGTTTAAGAGGTTGCACCATGAAAGGTGGAGAAGAGAGGGAAAGCTGCACAATCTTGGAACAGTTGATTGGAAGTCTAAAAGGAGGAACTTAAGATTTTTCTGCCAGAACCAGTTTTTAAATAAGACTGAGGGGGGAACAAATGCTGACATCCCACTCCGTGGAAAAAGCGCAGTAGGTAATCAGTGTATTTTGCCACCTGAGATCAGGGATGACTTTTTGCAAGAGAAGGTGGCAATGCCTGACTTCAAAACACATGCTAGTTTAGAGAATAAATTTCAGTCAGAAGCAAAGGAGAATGGAACAAACTGCAGCCAAAGAGATTTTGAAAAGAGACTAGGAAATGTATGTCCAAATAATTGGAGGTCAAAAACCTTGAAAGATTGTAGAATATTTTTGAGGAAGATCAATTATCTTGAACACAGAAATACTTTTAAGCTAAATACAATCATTTACTCTCCTGAATCTGTTGACAGTGGAAGTAAACATCTGACACATGTAGATGAATCAAAGCGCTGTACTTTAAGATCCCATTCTGCTAGGCAAAATTCTTTTAAAAAGCAAGCTAAAGAAATAGAAAATACTAAAGCAAATAGTCCCTTACCTGATAAATTTGCTGACCAACTTGGCAACAGTAAGTTAAGTAAATGTGTTAATTTTGACAAGAATCCTTCTGATAGTTCTCAAGTTCTTAGCAAATTGAACAAAAGAAAAAGACCACCATGGAAGACCACAGAGTTGTCAACAAAAAGACATAAACGACAGTCTTACAACAGTGGACAAATGGCAAACTATTTTTCAAAATCCCAACTAGGTAAGTTTTTCTCTCCTTAATTTTAAAGTTTCATTTTAGGTGCCTTGAGTAAAGTGTGAAATTAGCAGGTAGAAAAGAAACAGCAGATTCCATTCTAATTTGTTTCTAAAATACTTGGACAACCTAATTTCTTGGCACCTAGTATGAAACTCATGAAGTTAGGTGCTGCC